CTGCCTGCGGATCAGATTTCGACATGTGGTGGAACGGTTGGAGGGGACACAGACATCCAGATCACAGCAGGCCCTTCAGTTCTCACGCCCTTCGCCAACTTGCTCAACCAATTTATAGGACTAGTATTCTTTTTTAAAAGTAGTTTTAAATTTTTATTGAAAAGGCAACTGTATAGAGAGACAGAAAGATCTTCCATCCTCTGGTTCACTCCCCAAGTGGCTGCAATAGTTGCAGCTGATTTGAAGCCAGGAGCTTCTTTCCGGGTCTCCCACATGAGTGCAGAGGCCCAAACCTTTCGGCCGTTCTCTACTGCGTTTCCAGGCCACAAGCAGGGAGCTGGATGGGAAGCGGAGCAGCCAGGACACGAACTGGCGACCATATGGGATCCTGATGCATGTAAGGTGAGGATTTAGCCACTGAGCCAAATATTCTTTTTTTTTTAATTTATTTTTTATAATCTTACATAGTTGATTAGGGTCCAAAGGGTCAAGGGCTATAGGAAAGTGGGTAAGACCATTGTTTCCACACTAATATCATCATTTCCCGCCCCTGTATCTGGGGTCAGGGGAGAAACAAAGGGAGAAGCCCCACCCAGCCTTCCATCCTTCCCAGGTCCCTGATGTGGGGCACGCTCCGAGGGTCCTGCTCAACCAGTTTTGATAGTTCAACAGTTCTGAGTTGCTGCCAATCTCACCGTTCCAAGCACAATGAAATCTCTTCAGAATCCACTGGCTAACATAGTCTCTTCATGGTTGAGCTTCTGAGATCAGCAGTTCAGTTGGAGGGATCTCCAAAGAAACTTCATCTGAGGCGATCCAGACCTGATTCTTGTGTGTGCTTGCCAGTACAGGGTCTGGCACAGTCCGTTGCCCCAACCAGCTTATACACATGCAATTGCTGGGTCAGTTCTGTTTCCAGTCCTATCTTTCATGCGAATCAATGGTTGTTGCAGTCCAGCCTGATCCTGCCCACTTCATACTCGGTCCTCACACAAACCAGTGGGAGCTACAGCCTAGTTGGGGTGACTCCCCATAATACCCACCAGGCCTGGCCCCTACCCTGGTTTCCATTCTTGCTGGTGTGTACTGCAGACTTGTTCAATCTGTCCCACATCCCATTTAGCTCTCGTACATGTCAATGGGCATTGAAGCCTAGTTCAACCCAATCAGCCCCACTATCCAGCCCACACACATACTGGCGGGTACCTTTCTGTCTAGCCACCCCTGCCCCTGTCCTGGTTTTCGTGCTGTCCAGTGGGAGTGGTAACCCAAGAGGGAGGTGCTATTGCCCTACTAGGCCACTCCCACTCCCTGATTATGCATTCTCCAGGTGGTTCTGGAGTTTAACTTGACAGATTTAGCCCCCAGTGCTAGCCTCTGTCAGCTAATGCTGCAGCAAAGCCCAACCATTCCTCACCCACTCTAATTTTTGCTTGCACCAGCGAAAACAGTCAGCCCAACCTGGCTTTTCCCGATCTAGCTCACCTGAGGCCCACAGGTGTTGTAGCCCTGCCTGGTCTGGTCTGCCCCCATCCCAACCCATGCTCTCCAGTGGGAGTGGTTGTCCAGTAGGTGAGCCCATATTCCCCCCTGTGAGCTGAATATTCTTAGAGATAATGAATACCCTAGCTTTACAAACAGCATAGATAAGTACCCACGTGACATGTGAGAGTGGCTGACTTTGAAAGTTCACTCTGATAGTAAACAGACCCTTTCACTTGGACCCTTGGATGCAAGTTGGAAACCATCCCTGTCCTCATGCCCCGGAGAATTTGGTGGACCAGAACCACACATGGCTCAATGTCACAGATCAGCATCTTCTTGTCACAGTCTTCCATCAGCTGCTTACCATCAGGTCCAAGGCTGTGTCCTCATCTGCAACTTGCTCTTCTACTTATAACAAGTGGTGTGTCCTGCGAGGGCTGGGAAAGCATCTCCTGCTTTCTTCTTCAACCTAGGGGTTGAGTAAGCACACGCCACATGAGGCACCTTTGTTTTCTAAATATCTTTTGGCATCTAATTGCTATAAACAATTTCTTCTTATTTTTGTCCTTTCTTTAAATAATTTTCACAATTCCTACCTCCCAATCATTCCGCGTATCTTCAGACATAAGATGTACAAGATGTCTTGTCAGATTTTTATGTTCTCAAGCTTTTAAATCTTGAGTTTGCTCTGAGAACAGCACCTCAACTTGATTACACGGTGACAGACAGCCCCCTAGTGGGTGTTAAATGTTACACAGCAAGAGAGGCCAAGGGCAGTGAGAAGCGACTTCATGAACTGATTCACTCATTCATTGTACAGATGCTAGCTGGGTGTCTACTGTGTTTCAGGTGAACAAAGCTGCCAACAGCAAACTCACCGGCATTTAGTTAGGAAGATGAAGGAGTCAGAGGGTAGGACATATTTGGGACACCAGTTAAAAGGTTGACTTTGAACATGAGAAATAGATGAGCTGTAGTGTTGCCAGTAGAGTACTTGGTGGACAGAAAGCACAGTGCAAATAATCTCTCATTGGAGATTTCACCAAAGACAATTGAGAACTGGCAGCATGAGCACGAGTAGCAAGGAAGGGTGCCAAGACACTGAATCCGGTGGATTCTGGGCCTGGGTAGAGCAGTGATAGAGGAGTGCCTGGTGGCCCATGTCCATGGAGCTGTCCACTTCCTCGGTTTCGATGAAATCATCTCTTGTTGGTGTTGACTCAGTTCCCCCGTGATGTGTGATGGCTGACTTTTTTTGTGCCCTCCTCTGCCCCATTTCTAGGTCGGTGAGCCTGCCCTGTGGCATCTTCAGCACCCAGCAGGGCCTCTGTGCTGAAGGAGGAGTTTTGGACTCACTAGAGCAGCTAAGATAGACCCACCCAAGAGCTCATGATGTAGCATTGTTGATAGCAAATTCCCCGGGACCACGAAGAGTCAGTTTCTTTGGGAGGCACCAGAGGATTGCAGTAGCTCAAAGCTAACCCGGCAAAATTTCCAGGGAGAAAATGGGCATATGTTAAAAATTTTTTGTTTATTTGAAAAGCAGAGTTAGAAGAGAGAGAGTTCTTCCATCAGGAGGTTCACTCCCCAAATGGCCCCAACAGCAGGGTCCTGGCAATAGCCAGGAGCCAGGGACGATCTGCATCCATATTGAAGTCCTGGTATGAAGGCCTGGCTCTGCTCCTTGGCCTGGGAGACACTAGGTCATTGGATTCCTGCCACCCACAGGTCAACCCCCTGTGTTTCCAGCCCTCAGAGTTGGCCTGGCCCAGCCCCAACTACTGCTTGTCTCTAGGGGGTAAAGCAGCAAAAGAGGGCTCCATCTCCCTCTGCCTTTGATGGCATATGAAGGAGGCAGGGAATAACGGGCACAGGTGTTCCCTGTAATGGGCTCCTGGTGGATTCCCACCAGTGTCTCCTCTCCTGCGTCTAGCAGTCTCTGCTGGGATGTCCTGCCCCTCCCACCACCCAGACAAGACGCTAACTGTGACCAGTCACAGGCTCGTGGCACGCCTTGTCATTTTGCCCTCTCTCCCAAGCAAACACCAAGCACACGTGTGCTGTCATCACACCTAGGTCAGGGCAAGTGCTCAGTTAATACCTGCTGGATAGACGCTGCTCACAAGCCACTCTCCGCAGCCTGGGATAAGCTCTTCCCACACATTTTGTCTCAGTCACGGAGCTAAAGACCTTCAAAAGCTGAGCATTTGAAGACTCGTTCCAAACCCTTGCCTCGTGCCCAACAAGCGCTTTCTCCAGTTACACGTCTTAAAGTTTATTTGGTTTTGTTTATTTGAAAGGCAACATTCAATGAGAGAGGAAGAGAGGCACAGGATTTTTTTTTTTTTTTAAGATTTATTCACTTTTGGGCCCGGCGCCGTGGCTTAGCGGCTAAAGTCCTCACCTTGAACGCACTGGGATCCCATATGGGTGACGGTTCTATCCCGGCAGCCCCACTTCCCATCCAGCTCCCTGCTTGTGGCCTGGAAAAGCAGTCAAGGATGGCCCAAAGCCTTGGGACCCTGCACCTGCGTGGGAGACCTGGAAAAAGTTCCAGGTTCCCAGCTTCGGATCGGCTCAGCATCAGCCGTTGCTGTCACTTGGGGAGTGAATCATTGGAAGGAAGATCTTTCTCTCTGTCTTTCCTCCTCTCTGTATATCTGACTTTGTAATAAAAATAAATAAATCTTTTTTAAAAAGATTCATTCACTTTTGTTTAAGAAGCAGATTTACAGAGAGGAGAGACGGAGTTCTTCCATGCGCTGGTTTACTCCCCAAGGCTGCAGCTGAACTGATCTGAAGCCAGGGAGGCAGGAGCCTCCTCCAGGTTCGTTTTCAGCTGAGTTTTTTTTGATAGGCGGATGTCGCCGCCTTGGAGCCACCCCACTCCCCCGGGTACCCCACACATGAAGGAATGCCTTTCCAGCCCTGAGGGTTTGTGAGCATCTGCGTGAGGAACGGGCTGCTCAGGCTCTCAGCGGCGACCGGGGCGAGCATCCCTCCGTCCCACCAGTGGCTGCTGTCCTACCTTCCTTCCCGGAACCCCTGGAGCTTTCGCTCGTGCTCAGCTCTCCTCCAAGTCTTCCGCGCGGCTGGCCTCGCTTGGATTCAGAGTCCGGAACCCGAGAGCGACGGGTACAGGGAGGGTCAGAGTGCAAAGATCTGAAGGCAGTTGGACAAGACGCTGAACAGGGGCCGCGCTGGACAGGCTCCTGGACCTGGTTACCCTAGCGATCTCGAGCAGAGGGATCGAGTTACTAAGACCCACCTGCTGCTGCCTTCTGCCCCCACCCCGTAGCTCCGTCTCCTCTCCTCAGAGGGTGGAAGCCGGATCCCACGCCGACGCGGTTGCCTAGCGACACACTTTCCCCCAAGATGCTTAGCGTGTTGTGATCCTCTCAGCCAATCAGACAGGCGAGGAGATTTCGCTGTCTGCCAATCGCTGGCGAGGCCCGGGCCCGCGACGGTTAACCGGGCAAAGGCCGGGGCTGTGGGCCGGGGGTTCCGGGGCTGCTGTCCAGCTGGCTTGAGGGGGCTCCGGAGCCCGACCTGCGGGGGGCAGCGCGAGTCCGGAGGCGGGCCTGGCCATGCCGTCCCGGGTGGAGGACTACGACGTGCTGTACACCATAGGAACGGGCTCCTATGGCCGCTGCCAGAAGGTCCGCAGGAAGAGCGACGGCAAGGTGAGCGCTGTCCCCGCCCCGCGGAGGCCTCGTCAGCCCCGGGGCTGGGCTGTGGGCGCCGGGGGGACCCCGGGGCTGGGCTGTGGGCGCCGGGGGGACCCCGGGGCTGGGCTGTGGGCGCCGGGGGGACCCCGGGGCTGGGCTTTGGGCGCCGGGGGGACCCCGGGGCTGGCTGTGGGCGCCGGGGTGACCCCGGGGCTGGGCTGTGGCCGCCGGGAGGACTCTGCCGCCCCCTCCCCGGGCATGGGCTGACAGCTGGTCCTTTGAGGTTTTTTCTTTCCCAGTCGTTTCTTTCCCGACCCCTCCCTTGTATCTTGCTTTGACCTGCCGAGGACTTGGTGACGCGTAGCTGACTCTGAGCTAATTTTTAGAGAATTTGGGCTCTCTCAGCAACCCCGGAACCGGAAGTTTTGCACCTGCAGTCGGAATTCATTGAAATAATAGCAGTTTGGGGGTTGAGGTTTCTCACTGTGTGTGGGTGGGTCTGTGGCTGCTGACCAAGGGGTCCTTCCATGTTCTTGGGCAGCCCTGACTGAATGGTCAGAGATTTGGATTTTCTCTATGGCAGCTTTGCAGTTAATTGGGGCGGGGGGGGGGTGGGAGGCTGCAGGAGAAGGCCTAGTGCATCTCCTCACCCTCCTCCCAGCTGCTTAGAAACTGGGGGAAGGTTAAGGGCATGGACACAGGAGGACTCTGTTCACTTGTTGAACCACTTTAGGTGATAATGACCTTGAGTTGTTGTCTGTTACCTTTGAACTCTGGGCTCTCTCATGCCTTGTGGGATATAAGCTGTTCCTTCACACCTTGGAGGGGGCTTCTGGTTTCAGGTATTGGTCTGGAAAGAGCTTGACTACGGTTCCATGACGGAAGCCGAGAAACAGATGCTGGTTTCGGAAGTGAATCTGCTGCGTGAGCTCAAACACCCCAACATCGTGCGCTACTACGATCGCATCATCGACCGGACCAACACGACACTCTACATTGTCATGGAATATTGCGAAGGGGGGGACCTGGCCAGCGTCATTGCAAAGGGAACCAAGGAGAGGTAATGTTTGCAGTGGCAGCTGGAAAGGGTCCATTCTCCTTCCTGTGGAGCAGCTGGGGAGCACGGAAGAGTTCCTGGATTTTAGAGATTTTAGGAAATCCCTGGTAGGAGTTGACACCCACGTAAGCCGGGTAACTGCTTTGCTTTCAGACAGTACTTAGAGGAAGACTTTGTGCTTCGGGTGATGACGCAGTTGACGCTGGCCCTGAAGGAGTGTCACCGGCGAAGTGACGGTGGCCACACGGTGCTGCATCGGGACCTGAAGCCAGCCAACGTGTTCCTGGATGGCAAGCAGAACGTTAAGCTTGGCGACTTCGGGCTGGCCAGGATCTTAAACCATGACACGAGCTTTGCAAAGACTTTTGTGGGGACACCTTATTACATGTCGCCTGTGAGTACACATGAATGTTGCCACATTCTGACCAACTTGATGCCTGGAACTTCAATCTTTTGTTGGTTGTTTTTGCTTTGTAATATCAAATAGCCAAAAATTAACAATGCTGTTTGATTTTAAGTCTCAATTTTTCCAACTGAGCCATCAGACCATTGCGTTCCTTTCAGCTCGAGTTTTTCTTGTGTGTAACCACTACGCGCTGGCTCAGGAATCACAAAGGTGACCTGAGTTTTTGTCGCTGTCCCCCAAGGCAGTGTTTCCTGGGGGGGGGTAGGTCCTGGAGGCTGGCTCCCCTGGAGTGTTTGTCACAGTGTGTGGTGCGTCGGCCTGTGGGTGGGCCGTGCTGTCTAGCCCGGTTCCTGTGAAGGAGCCCCGCCCACTGCAGACACAGGGTCTGCGATGCTGACCCGACAGATGCAGTCCTTGTCTTCTGCTCGTGTTGCTGAGTGTTTTGTTCCACCGTGCTAAGGATCAGGACTGTGCTTAGCTTTGCGTGGGTTCTTTCTTCCCTGTCGGTTATTTTCCTTGGAGTGCAGTTCATAAAATAAAATTGTGACCTTTTTCCTTAAGACTTTTTCTTTTTTTTTTTAAAGATTTATTTATTTTTTTTTATTGGAAAGGTGGATATACAGAGGGGAGAGACAGAGAGGAAGATCTTCCGTCCGATGATTCACTCCCCAAGTGAGCGCAACGGCCTCCTTTCCCGGGCCACAGGCAGGGAGCTGGATGGGAAGCGGAGCTGCCGGGATTAGAACTGGCGCCCATATGGAATTCTGGGTGTGCAAGGCGAGGACCTTAAGGACTGCGCCACCGCGCCGGGCCCAACTTTTTCTTTTTTTAAAGGAAGAATTAGAGAAATAGAAGTGGGTAAGGAGAAGAAGAGAGAAAGATGTCTTCCATCCATTGGTTCTCTCCCCAAATGGCCACAGCAGCCCAGGGCTCTGCCAAGTTGAAGCCAGGAGCTTCTTCTGGGCCTCTCACGTGGGTTGAGGAGCCCAGAGGCTTGGCCATCCTCTGTTGCTTCCCTGGGTTGTTAGCAGGGAGCTGGATCAGAAGTGGAGCAGCTGACTTGAGCTGTCACCCTGCTATGGGAAGTGGGCTTCCCAGTCAGCAGGTTAACTCACTGTGCTACGACATCCACCCCATTGGATGGCTTTTTAAAAAGCCTCAATCAGTGAGTGATTGAATTTGCTTATTAGATATGAAATTTGAGCAGATAGAGATGATTATTCGTTGCCTTAGTAGTTCACAAATATTTCTGGGATGCACCAAACTTTTTAAGTTATATTAACAGATCTGACAGCGGATTAAACGTTTGTAAATCCAGGATTTTGTGACTGAGAGCAGAGCATTGTCACCCGGTCACACATTTAGAGAGCCCCTCACCTAAAGGAGCGTCACCCAGCAGCGGCTCGTGGACATTGTGAGAGTGCAGGTTTCTTTGTGGCTTTCCTTCCTGCCCCGTAATTGAGCAGGCCAGCTTCTGTCAGCCTTAACTGTCCGAAGTGGGACCGCTTTCAGACACTAACCAGGCTTCCTGGAGTTTCAGTACTTGCCTCTGGCCCTCTGCTAGGAAAAGGAGCCATGCCAGACTATTCCGGGTGAGAGCATGGGGGAATGATTAAAAGAGAGACTGGATGGGCCTGGTGCTGTAAGTAAAGCCACAGCTTAGGATGCTGGCATCCCATAGGGGTGTTTGTTCATGACATGGCTGCTCCACCTCTGATCCAGCTCCCTGCTGATGCACCTGGGAAAAGCTGCTCAAGATGCCTGAGCCCCTGCCACCCATGTGAGAGACGCGGATGAAGCTCCTGGCTTCAGCCTGGTTCTGTTTGGCCATCCAGAGAGTGAACAGTGGACGGAAGATCCTTCTGTGTAACTCTTTAACTCTGATTTTCAAACAAATAAGCCTTGAAAAAAAAAGGACAAACTTTGAATGTTTAGTTACTTCTGGGGTTTATATAGTAGAGTAAATAGATCTCTAGGTAAAATTTTTTTAAGATTGGGCCCGGTGCATTGGCCTCACGGCTGAAAGTCCTTGCCTTGAATGCACTGGGATCCCATATCGGTGCCAGTTCTGATCCCAGCAGCTCCACTTCCCATCCCGCTCCTTGCTTGTGGCCTGGGAAAGCAGTCGAGGATGGCCCAAAGCTTTGGGACCCTGTACCCGTGTAGGAGACCTGGAGGAAGTTCCAGGCTCCTGGCTTCAGAGTGGCGCAGCACCAGCCATTGGTGTCACTTGGGGAGTGAATCATTGGATGGAAGATCTTCCTGTCTCTCCTTCTCTCTGTATATCTGACTTTACTGTAAAAATAAATAAATAAATAAATCTTTTAAAAAAAAAAGAAGAAAAAGAGTCAGGCCTTCTGCTGGTTCATTAAAAAAAATTTTTTTTAAGATTTGTTTTTATTGGAAAGTCAGATTTATAGAGGAAAGGAGATACAGAGAGAAAGATCTTCCATCTTCTGGTTCACTCCCCAAGTGGCTACAATGGCAGAGATGAGCACATTTGAAGCCAGAAGCCAGGAGCTTTTTCCAGGTCTGCTACATGGGTGCAGGGTCCCAAGACCATCCTCTATTGCTTTCCCAGACCACAGGGAGGAAGCTGGATGGGAAGTGGAGCAGCAGACACACGAACAAGCGCCCATTTGGGATTTAGCCACTGAGCCATTGTGCCAAACCGTAGATAGATAATTTAGTTGTTTATTTCTATATCCATTCAAATATGGGTTTAATACATGTTCTAATTATTCTAGAATCTTCTCTGGGTATTTGGAAATGAGCTATCTAGAATATAACTGCCTTGAGGATTCCATGATGGAGGTCTCTTACTCACCTTTGAATTGTCAGTGTTTTCATTTGTGAATGAGAAATAAGCGAATGAGCTATCAATAGCAAAATATACAAGGAAACATCATTACTTTTTTGTATTGTAATTTAGAATGTAAAGTACAGGTTGAAAACGTCTACTACAGGTTGAAAGCTTCTGCTTTCAGTTAGATTATTCTCCAGAACAATTCTATCAGTTTCACAGTAAGTTTCGCTTCACTTCACTCCCACTTGCCTGCCTTTTTTGCCTCCAGGAACAGATGAATCGCATGTCATACAATGAGAAGTCAGACATCTGGTCCCTGGGCTGTCTGCTGTATGAGCTGTGCGCGCTGATGTGAGTAGGTGACGGAGTCCCCATCTCAGGTTTACACTGGAGATCGTCCTGTCTTGGCTTCAGACAAGCTTTTGAGCATGCGTGCCTGTGTGCGTGTGAAAACATGTTCTCATCTGAAGGAATTACACCTAGGTTAAGAGCAAGGCAGATGGGCCAGGAAGACCTACACTGCACATGAGAAACAGCGCATGAGGCTGGCTCCTAAGTTGCTCAGATGTCTGGCTAGCTGCCTCTCTGGGAGGCCAGCACCCCAGTCAGGCAGGTGCCTGGTGCTGCTCTAAGCCTGGTGAGGAAGGCAAGCGATGAGCAAGGTGGGGGAGCTGGGCACAAGCTCCACTCTCTGTTTCTCCTTCTGGACTCTCCTGTGGAACCATGGGCCCCCCCCATAGGCCTTGGGGGAGCATTGACAATGTCTGAAAAAACTCTAGCAACGCTAGTTGCCAAAGCTCGGTGCTGTGGGCCTCTAGCAGGGGTAGGCCAGTGATGTTGTAAAATACTCTCGCATGCCCAGGGAGACCCATGCTGTGCGGTTAGATAACCAGTGGTGTCTGGATTGGGAAACTAGCTGTGGATGCAAATCCTACAATAGAGATGCTTAAAGGGAACTATATTTGGTTCTTAACATTAATTTTTATTTTATTTATTTATTTACATTGACTTTTTTTAAACTCCAGGCCTCCATTTACAGCTTTCAACCAAAAAGAACTAGCTGGAAAGATCAGGGAAGGCAAATTCAGGCGAATTCCATACCGTTACTCAGATGAATTGAATGATATTATCACGAGGATGTTAAATCTGAAGGTAAGTTTTTCAGAGTTCACGTGGTTTCTCTCGGTCACATTTTGCAGTGTGTATTCTCTCTTGTAGAGCAGTGGAGAAGGGAAAAATATGCAGTATAACTCCTCAGCTAAATATGCTCTGGTGGGTAGCACAAGTGGAAACGTGTCAATTTGGCGAGTTGTGCGTCCCTGCCGGCCTACCTTCCGCGTGCTCCTAATTTTTTCCTCCCACTCTGTGAGCAAAGAAAACGGCAGGAAAGATCCAGAATCTGAGTTTCCCTCGCCTTGTCCTCCCTCACAGTGGCAGGTGCTAGGGGAAGGAACCAGGAACCAGACTGTATTGTTCTGCCTCCCGCCCCGCACTGAGAGGTGAGAGCAGATGATGAGGAAGTAGGGGAGGGGGGAGAGAGGATGTGAGAAAGGACTTTTGTGGGAAAACTTAGAATGTGGTGATGGGAGAGAAGGGGATGTTGAGGATCAGGCTGATGTAAGAGCAGTGCTACCGGCGCATAGAGGACATAGGGAAAGTAAGTGGATTGAAGGCTGCTTTGTGTGGTTTAAAGATGCAAGGACATTATCCCCCTCCCCCCCCAGCCCTACCAAGCACCAGCACTGGATGTGTCAGAGCGCTTCGGGGGTTAAGTCTCTGAAAGGGGAAGAGAGGAAAGAATGGGTGATGGCTGCATGACCCCAGGGACCCAGAAGCTCACAGGTTAAAACCTGCCGAGAGCGATTTTTCAGCCATCTGAGAACTGTGCGTGCAGACGCTTGCCCTGGCTTTGGTGAGGTGCACCCAATCCATGTAGTGTGCTCTGAGGACAAGTGTCGTGCTGGCGCTCCAACTGACGCACTGAGACCTGTCCCGCAGGATTACCAGCGGCCTTCTGTGGAGGAAATCCTCGAGAGCCCTTTGATTGCAGACCGGGTCGCAGAAGAGCAAAGGCGGACCCTGGAGAAAAGAGGGCGGCGATTAGGAGAGCCGGAGAAAGTGCAGGACTCCAGCCCCGTCTTCAGTGAGCTGAAGCTAAAGGAGGTGCAGCTGCAGGAGCGAGAGCGAGCCCTCAAAGCCAGAGAGGAGCAACTAGAGCGTAAGTCGGGTCAGGGTCAGAGTGGAGGAATCCCTGGCCAACTCTGGTTGGCTGTCCTGCCTCTGTGGATACTGTGTGTGTGAGTGTGTGTGTGTGGGAGGGGGTTCTAACGGCCACAACGGCTGGATGCTCACCTGGCTACATCAAGGAGCTAGGAACTCCATCCCGACCCCTCACGTAGGTGGCGGGGGCCCGTGTACTTGGGCCATCATGTGCCTTCCCAGGTACATCAGCAGGAAGATGGATCAGAACCAGAGTAGCCAGAGTTCCAAAATGGGATGCCAGTGTCACAGGCATCAGCTTAACGTGCTGTGCCACATCATCCCTCTAAAGTTTTCCATTGTAAGGAAGGATCTTGGGCAAGCCTTTGGTGCAGAAGTTAAACTGCCACATGGGATGCCCACATCCCATAGAGATATTTTGGGATTGAGTCCCAGGTCTACTCTCCATCCCAGCTTCCTGATGGTGCCTCCTTGAGAGGTGGCATCCATTTGGGAGACCCAGATGAAGCTCCTTGGCCCAGCCCTGACTATCCCTCTCTCCCTCTCTGCTTTTAAAGCAAATTACGTTGTAGATAAAAAGGCTTTGACAGCTGCCACCTCCCATAATAAAAATCGTGATTTTCTTGAACACGATTGCAGGTCTGAAGTCCCGTGGTATGTAGGAGCTCAGTGCATTTAAACAGACAGCTGAGAGCACAGTGTGACAGGGTCTGGGTTGATGCATGATGCTGTGATGGGCTTTGGCACTCCCTGATGGAGCGCCCGTAGCTTTCTGGGAGAGTAGGCTGCACCAGGTTGAGAGCTGCCGTGCTAACCCTGGGAGGTTAGTAGTGGCTCCGAGATCAGTGGTGGGGCTGTGGCCATCCCCTGCCTCTTTTGCCTCTGCAGGTTTACACCCCATACAGACGTTAGGTTCTTTTCTGCGTAACTGTACTCGAAGTGATACTTAAGTGTACTTTAATCCTCACAGCATATATTTGTGAATGTTTTCCTTCCAAATGATCAGGATGAAATATTGCACAGTAACATGAGATAGGTATAGATGAAACCTTTGTTTACCTACAAAGTTAAAAAAAAAAAAAGAAAAACTTATTTTAGTTTGAAAGGCAGAGTTAGAGAGAGGCAGATAAATGGAAAGAGAGGTGTTTCCACCCACTGGTTCACTCCCCAAATGGCCGCAACAGCCAGAACTGGGCCAATCCGAAGCCAGGTGCCTGGAGCTTCTGGGTCTCCAACATGGGTTCAGGTGCCCAAGGACTGGAGCCATCCTCTGTTGCTTTCTGAGGCCACAATCTGGGAGCTGGATGGAAGTAGAGTAGCTGGGACATGAACCAGTACCAAATGGAATAGCGGCATTGCAGGCAGAAGCTTAACCTCTGATGCTACCATGTGGGTCTCACTTTCTAAATCTTAGGCCATGAAGGCAGAGTTTCCATTGTTTCCAATTAAAGCTTACTCTCCTGCTTTCTGCTTTTCTGCCTTCCATTTGGGCATCCTCCTTCACCCAGCAGAGGGAGGTTTTGTCCTGTGAGGCTAGGTGGTGACCTGACAGTGAGTCCTTGCTCGTTTTCAGTGGCCAGCGATGTCAGCTTGTTTTGTCGTCCTCCCAGAGGAGTCGCCGCCACGCAGTATGACCCTGGGTTGAAGCTGACTTTGTAGTTGTACTCCAGCAAGTCCTTATGCAGAAACCCAGGATAACCTCCCACGTGTTAAATCAGGGGGTCTGGCATCGTCAGGTGGAGCAGGGAATCTGAATCTGGGAGGAAATTTTATGAAGCATTGCTGATGGGAGCTCAGACCCGCTGGGGAAGTGATCAGAACAGGTGGTGGAGAGCCCAGTGGGAGTTGTACCATAGCCGAGGCTGCGGGTCTGTGTGTACCCTTTGTTTCTCTTTCCCTCCCTCTTTTGAAGAGAAGGAACGTGAGCTCTGTGTCCGGGAGAGGCTGGCGGAGGACAAGCTGGCCCGCGCGGAGAGCCTGGTCAAGAACTACAGCTGGCTAAGGGACCAAAAGCTCGTGTCCCTGGGGAGCCACGCAGGTATGAGAGCCAACTTGCCCCCCAATAGGAGCTGGTGCTGCAAGTGAAGACGGGCCCCCCCAGCGGGCCTGAGGGTGTCACCAGCCCACCTCCTGTTCAGAGGCTCGCCAGTACAGATGGATTTCATGGAGTTTTTGCATTTCAATGGAAATAAATTTATATTATAGTAATAACTTATCTACTGGGGTCATTGACCTGAGCCAATGAATGATAGAACTTCATCTCGGATTGAGTTTATCTGCTTGGGCTGCATGGTGGTTAGAGCATTTTAAAAACAACTATACACTTCGGATGTTTGCTCTATTATCTTTTCATACCTCTGTATATCTGTACATTCTCAAGTAACAATCCTGGCACTTTAGCACTGCGCCTCATCCCTTTGGAGAAAGTGTGGTGGCCTCGATGGCGATACCTGCCATGTGAGTCTTTGTAGAATTTATTTCAGTGTTTCTCAGGTTCCATAAAGACAGAGTAGGCTGAAGTCAAGATTAGACAGATGAAGCAAAGAGGAACTTGGAGCTGCATGGGTTTCCCTGATGGTTGCACGTGCTGGGATCCCATATGGACACTGGTTCTAATCCTGGTGGTCCCACTTCCCATCCAGCTCCCTGCCTGGAAAGCAGTCAAGGACGGCCCAAAGCCTTGGGATCTTGCACTGTGTGGGAGAACCAGAAGAAGCTCTGGGCTCCTGGCTTTGGATTGGCTCAGCTCCAGCCATTGCCGCCACTTGGGGAGTGAATCATTGGATGGGAGATCTTCCTCTCTGTCTCTCCTCCTTTCTGTATATCTGACTTTGTAATAAAATAAATAAATAAATCTTAAAAAGAAAAAACTGCTTTGAATAAAGCATTCTTGAACACTGAACTCTATTTAAAAAAAAAAAGCCTCTACTGCTGTGCTTTCCTGAACATAACATACTTTGCATAGGATGGTGGTTATTATTTTTTTAATGTTTTTATTGGAAAGTCAGATTTACAGAGAGGAGAGACAAAAATCTTCCATCTGTTGGTTCACTTCCCCAAGTGGCCATAACAACTGGAGCTGAGCTGATCTGAAGCCAGGAGCTTCTTCTGGGTCTCCTGCACAGGTGCAGGGTCCCAAAGCTTTGGGCCATTTTCAACTGCCTTCCCAGGCCACAAGCACGGAACTGGAGGGTAAGTGGAGCAGCTGAGACATGAACTGGTGCCCATATGGAATCCCAGTGTGTTCAAAGAAAGGACTTTAGCCACTAGGCTACCGTGCCAGGCCCAATGGTGATTATTTTTAAGAACAGCAACGAGGTCCTGGCACGGAAGCCTACTGGCTAAGTCTTTGCCTTGAACATGTTGGGATTCCATATTTGTGCCGATTCATGTCTTGGCTGCTTCTCTTCCCATCCAGCTCCCTGTCTGTGGCCTGGGAAAGCAGTTGAGGATGGCCCAGAGCCATAGGACCCTGCACCTGCATGGGAGAGCTGGAAGAGGCTCTGGGTTCCTGGCTTTGGATTGCCTCAGCCCTGGCCATTACAGCTACTTGGGGAGTGAATCAGCGGACAGAAGATCTTTCTGTTTCTTGTTCTCTCTTTCCATTAAAAATAAGTAATAATTTAAAAAAAAATAGCAGTGAATAATACTGATTTCCAGAAGTTTAAGATTGTGACCCATGACCCCAGTACATTCTTGGTAAGAGAATAAAGCCCAGGTTTCTTGGTTTTTGGCTCATCCTAGGATGATTTGTTAGTGCCGTGGATGAAGGAGGCTGGGTGTCTCCTGCCAACCCCGTGCCCCTGACCAGTCCCAGAGAAAATAAGCCAGGTGCCCAGGCCCCAGACACAGGCCCCGGGGTACCTGCTTCCTGCTAGTGCGATAAGCAGGCAGGAGTGCAGCTCCTGTGCCAGTAACTCCAAACTCTCTCCTTTTCTTCCTCAAGACCTCCTTGACCTCCCATCCTCAGTCATCAAGAAGAGAGTTCATTTCGGTGGGGAAAGCAAAGAGAACATCACAAGGAGCGAGAACGCCGAGAGCCACCTCACGTCCAAGTCCAAGTGCAAGGACTTGAAGAAAAGACTGCATGCTGCCCAGCTGCGGGCCCAGGCTCTGGCAGATATCGAAAAAAATTACCAGCTGAAGAGCCGGCAGATCCTGGGCATGCGCTAGCCTGGCAGGGCCCGTGGCTGCGTGCAGGTACAGTCCTGCCGGTTGGCACTGCTGGCGTGGTTCCGTGAGCCGTGCGTTTGTGCAGAACGAGCGTGAATTTGGAATTTGAAATGTGGAACGGCTGTGTTGTTGTTCAGCTATTGTACAAAATACCTGTCCTATTTCTTTGTTTAAGAGCTCTTGATAGAAGGATGTTATTCTTTGTCGGTTGGGCATTTAAGCCTGTGTGGTATTGCTGCTTAGGAACATTCTAGATCTCAGGGGAAAGTAATGTCAGGAAAAAAAGGTTTTTACCCGGGAGTGATGCTTACTGGGAAATCTTAAGTGACTGAGTGATGTGCTAAACAATTGTCATGTCTAGATTTAAAATTTTAAGTCTGACTTTTAAATGTTTTTGAACTTAGAGAACTTAAATGAATGGATTTGGGTCATCACAGCAGGCATCCTTTTTATGAATCTTCCATTGTGATACAAACCTGCTATATTTGTGAAAATTCATCACTGTGATATCTGTGTTTTATTTCTTCCTATTCTTTTCTGTTGTATATGAACTTGCTGGCGTTCACCCACCTGTTTCCCACTAAATAAAAGAACTGTCGTTTTGCTTCTGTCTCTTGGGTTTGCGCATCTTTAGCTGAATGGGGCAAGGTGTGTGTATGTCGTGTGAGAAGCGACCGTGAACCTGATGTCGAGGAATATTTCAGCTATTAGGCAGCCACGGCCCCTCACTCCTGTCCCATGGCTCATAAAGGCTCTGCTCCTGAATTGGGCTGCTCTTGAACTGGGGACAGCTGGGGCCACTGCAGGGAGAGAGCAGGCCTGTTGCTCAGTGCACAGGACAGCCCCGACTGCGCAATGTCAACAATGGCATTGTCGCGGAACCTCCCTAAGCCAGAACCTGCCAGGGAGCGCCTCTCCCCTGCACTGGAAGGGGAAGGAAACTTAGTTTGGATGTTGCTGAGTTTTCAGAAAATCAGGCTGCCTTCTGATGCGGGTTAGTGGTCCCTGTGGTAAACATCAAATTTTTGTGGGATTTTGCTGGCAGGGCTCATCCTTTTACACAGAATTATGAAAGGTTAAGTGAGAGGAGACAGTTTTCTCACATACCATACAGTCAGTAATGTTCCATTAAAGGCAAATGGTGTCATCCCAACAAGTCAGAACCTTGGGACCATCTGACATGAATGCGCAGTGTTATGGTGCAGGCCTAACGAAAACACGAGACCTGTTGCAAAGGAATCTGATGCTGTTAGAAAGCTTGATGCTTTCTTCCAAGGTTGCTCTGCTTCATGTGCTATTTCATGTTCCAAATAAGTAAAACAGTTTGAGTTAGGGTAAATGCTGTTCATCTTTAGTGCATGCCAGTTCCAAGTGCCAACAGCAGGGCACTTTGCTCCCAGTTGGCCCCCTGGAAGGACACAAGTTAATAGTGGCTAGTGCAGGCGCTTGGGGTGCCTCAAGCCACACCTTCACAGGCACCCGGAGACCGTGGCCCTGATGCTTCCTGCCTCCACCCCACCCATGGCCAGTACACCAGGTTTCTTCTGGTTTTGTAGGCCACTGCCCCTGACCGGCAGCAGGGAGATCACACCAAGAACCACTTAACCTCCACACTGGGGGCTTTGTACCTGATCAGGGTCCAGGACTGCCCTCAGCAAGATAGGGCTTGCAGCTGGCACAGCTGGAGGGGAGCTGACATGGGCTGGGGACCACACTGAAATGTTTGGGGGTCTACATACCCTTGCAGGGAGCAGGGATCATGAAGCCTGGGAAGAAGGGGCGGGTGGGCAGGCTGCAGGGCACCAGGGCCAGGAGCTCTGCTAGCCTTATGGTGGGGGGATGGGTCCACAAGACAGTTGAGTCTGGGTTTGTTCCCCACTCCCACACCATCTCCCCCCACCTGCTGCCCCACACTCCATTGCCCATCAGATTGTTTTTGTAAAAGCAAAATTCAAAGATATTAAGAATATCAAGGCCATACTCACTGAGACACCATGTGCTTTTCCCTGGCCAATCACCTGCGAGAGCTGTCCTTTCATAGAGAAATTCTTTTCATAATTTTTATCCTTTCATTTTGACATCTAAAGGTGGCTGAACCCCTTCTGCTCCAAGACCCCACCTTTATTTCATTCACTGTGTTGCTCAGTCAACAATTATTGAGCACCTGCTGTGAGCACTGTTGGAGCTACTGAGGACACCATCACAAAAACACCAAAGTCCCTTGTGGATCCAACAGGGCAGGGCCTTAAGCCAGCAGGTGGCAGGTGAGGGACAGCACCAAGCAGGGATGGAGCTGGTGCTGCTATGTGAGACTTAGGGGCATGGCAGAGAGAGGCAGAGCTGACAGCAGGGGCTGGGTGGAGAAGGAAGGGAAGATTGGGCTGCATGGGGGTGGGATGGGCTGTGGAGGAAGGAGGGAAGAACGGGAAGACCACCACCAATGGCGCACGGGGCAGAGGCTTGGCCGCTGGGGAGAGTAGGGAGACTTCCTCTCTTCTCACTCAGAACCAGCTGGAGCGGAGAACACCTGGAGGTATTGGGACAACCTAACGATGGACAGGACTGTAGGATGGAGGCTGTTACTCCCAAATGTTTCCCAGCATCTCTAAGATGTTCTGCAAGGCACTCCAGCACCGTTGCAGCCTGCTCCTAGTCAGGCATTGGATTTGCAAAAGAAATAATAAATTAGGCAGCAGCTGTTCTTTTCTTTTTTTTTAAGATTTATTTATTTTTATTGGAAAGGCAGATATACAGAGAAGAGGAGAGACAGAGAGGAAGATCTTCTGTCCAATGATTCACTCCCCAAGTGAGCACAATGGCCAGAGCTGAGCCAATCAGAAGCCAGGAGCCAGGAGCTCTCCCACGTGTGTGCAGGGTCCCAAAGCTTTGGGCCGTGCTCGACAGCTTTCCCAGGCCACAAGCAGGGAGCTGGATGGGAAGTGGAGCTGCCGGAATTAGAACCAGTGACCATATGGGATCCCGGGTGTGCAAGGCGAGGACTTTAACTACTATGCTATCGCACTGGGCCCAGGCAGCAGCTGTTCTTACAAACACCACAAGATGGCGCAATGGTCTGTGAGACAAGGAACCTTCGCTCTGGGACGATCGAGGTTGTATGGCCCAGGTTCCCCTGCATCTGTCATTTCATTCAAGTCTTGCAACATCCATGTAAAGGGGACACCATCAGTGTCAACGTTCCATACAGAGCAGAGCTGGTTTAATTGTTTTTTCTTAATTTGTAAGAGGCAGAGGGACAAACATCGCATCCGCAAATGGTCTGTCCTGGGCATGGTTCAGAGACCAGCTGTGGGCAGGTGCTTGCCCTGGGGGTTAAGACCCCACCTGGCCTCGAGACTGCTGACACAGCTCTGGCGTCCAGCTTCTTGCTAACACGCACCCCAGCAAGGCTGCAGGGGATGGCTGGGGGAGCTGGGTCCCAGCCACCCACATGGAACACCTGGTTCCTGGCTTTGGCCCAGGCCCTGCTGTTGCTGACACTGGAGACTGAACAGTTGGACAGAAGACTCTCTTTTTACCTTTCAAATAAAAATGACAATGAGGAAACAAAGTGACCAAAAAGAATAAAGAAAATCTAAGTGTACCAGCAAGAAAGTGTTACTGGTCCTTAGGTCTTGTGGCTGGGAATACTGGAGGCCATACTGAGCAGGTGGATTTTACAGCAAGGAGAAGGAAGCCAGTGCTCTCAGCGGGGACTTCATCCGATGGCAGCTGAGACATGTGGCTGACCTACCCTTCCCCGCCTCGTCCACTCCAGCTGCCTTCCCCCAGGAGCCTCCCAACTCAGGCCTGGACTCAATGTCTAGGGGGCTGGGAGGTGCCCCTTGCCACCTGGGGAAGGCTTCTGGCCAGCACCCCCATCCAGCAGCCTCAGCCATGGCTCAAGCTGACCATCCCAGGCTCCCCAGGCAGCTTCCCAGCATAGCCTGGGAGGACTCCAGTCCCGGCTGTTGCTGCTGCAGCCGGGAGCTATGCCGTGATAATCACCAAGTCCGGTGTGGCGAGTCCTGCCTCCACCCTGCTGTGAAAAATACTGTTTCCTTGTATTTTAAAGTGATAATGTTGCCATGAAAGCCTCTAACACTGTGGAAGCCCACACTGTCAAGACTAGCAAAAAGATATTTTGTCTCCCATAGTCCTGCTGTCTGAATCTGTTTCCAGTAGCAGCTGTTGGGAATTCAGGGTTTGGTGTTCCCTGAGTGCCAGTGTGTCCTTGTGGGGCCTGTGGGTCTGAATATATGCATTTTAAACAGTGTCATGTTATATTTCTACTACTCCAGGAGAACAAAACACATGTGTGAATATATGAGCAAAGAAGCATGGGGCTGGCCTGACAGCTCAACTGGCTAATCCTCCACTTTCCCGTGCTAGCATCCCATAGGGGCACAGGTTCATGTCCTGGCTGCTCCACTTCCTATTCAGTTCCCTATTTGTGGCCTGGGACAGCAGTAGAGGATGATCCAAAGCCTTGGGACCCTGCACCCACATGAGAAACCCAAAAGAAACTCCTGGATTCTGGCTTCAGATCAGCTCAGCCCTGGCCACTGTGGCCACTTTGGGAGTGAACCAGTAGATGGAAGATCTTTCTGTCTCTTCTCTCCTCTGTATATCTACCTTTCCAACAAAAAATAAAGTGAATCTTAACAAAAAAAAAAAAGAAGTGGAACAGCTGGGACTTGAACCAGAGCTCACATGAGATGCCAGCATGGCAGGCAGCAGCCTAACCAGCTGTACCATGATGTTGGACCTGAGAAGCAACCCTTTTCCTGTGGGCCCATGCACATCTCTTGTCCTTTGCCCTGTGCTGTGTTCAGCCCAGCTTCACTCCAGCAGGCAGCTGCATCACAGTCTGGAGCAGCCACAGGGAACACAGCCCCCACTGCCAGGGTCCAGGGCATGCCAGGCGCTTGGCACAGTAGTCCCGACAGTGGAGCGGGGATGCCTGGATCCCAATCCAAGCGCCTGTTCTTGAGTTCCGGCTTCCCTCTCGATTCCAGCTTCTTGCAAAGGCGCACTCAGGAGGCAGCCGGTGAAGGTGTAAGCGGTTGGGTCTCAGCTGCCCACACGGGAGACCTGGATGGAATTCCTAGCTCCTGGCTTCCAATGGTTGTGGAATTTGGAGAATGAAGCTGAGTATGGGAGATCTCTTTTTATCTCTTTATCTCTCTCTCTCTACTTGTCAAGTAGAAACAGTAGTGCAGAAAGAGCAAAGAGTCTGGAGGCAGGGTAAGCCTCCAGAAAGGCTCCCAGCACCTGTGCCCGCAGTCACCTGTGCCCGCATGAGTCACCCGCACCCTCATGACCTTGAGAACCTCAGGGTCAATCACCTGAAGAACCAGAGAAAGTGCTCTCCGCCCCTTGCTCCTCATCCCTAGGCTTGGCTGCCCTCAGAGCACATGGGCCAGCCTCCACGGCGTCTTGGGGAGACAGCCAGGGCCAGGTATAGGTTGGATCCGGATATGCTGGCCACTAGCTCTTGGTAGGTGATGACCAGCCTGCCAGGAGGACAATGTCCACAAGGTACCCTGTGGGGCCAAACTCCACTTGCAGACTGTCCCGTATCCTGCTTGGGCTTCACGGGCCTGTG